TTGTCGGCAAACTTGGCCAATCCCTGGCCTGTAAAAAGCGTTTTCTTCTCTTAAGAAGCTGTTAAGTCAACATTTTACTTAATCTGAAAGGGAAAAAGTTAGGAAGAACAGTAACTATGAGCTCTGTCAGTAGGCGACAGAACATGGAGGGAGAGGATTAATTTTTGGGTTTGTGTTTAGCTGTTTCCTTCCGCACTGTAGCCAGCAGAGGGCAGTATTGATACACATAATAGAATCTGACATGAATTTTAGAGATATAAACAAATACTTGAATCTAATAAGAACTATGAACAATTTTCCATGAAATCTTAACATTAAAAATAAATACTAAAAACTTAGGGATATTTATTTGGTTAGTGGCCCATTGACCCATAAAAGGAAAGTGAAGATTCTTTTTTTTTCTTCTTTCTTTTAGGGTTTTGCCATAGGGTGCATGTACTGGTCAGAGAAAGACAGAGAGAGGAAAAGTAAGAAATCATCTTTCAGAATTTTGGGCATGCATGCACCTGGCATAATTTTCAAGCTGCCAGTTCCAGGACGCAAACCAAGGCCAGCCATGTGGAAGTCCAGCACCTTAACCATCATGCCACCTGCTGGTCCTAGTGAAGATGTTTTATAACTGGCTCTCATTAAAGATTAAAATAGCAAGAACCCAAATGCAATGTGGTAATAAATTTTAGCATTGTATCCCTAAATTGTTTAGGACATAAATTGTTAGGACTTTTTTCTATAGGAATGATATTTAAATTTTCAAATAAGGAAAAGTAATATATAAATATATATTATTCATTTGGAAAAATGAAAACTGGGACGTAAATAGTCATGTGATCTTAGAATTTGTAATATAGCTTTCTTTTTCTTTTTTCTTTTTGTTTTTTTAAAGAGGTTTTTGCTATAGGGTGCTTGCGCTCGCCAGACAGAGAGAGACAGAAAGCGAGAAATCACCCCCCCAGAGGGGATGGCCATGCCGCAATCCCTTCTCCTCCATTCTCCTCTCGGGATCTTGGGCACGCATGCACACACGCATGACATGAATTTTAAGCCACTGGGTCCCGGATGCGAACCGCGGTCGACTACATGGGAGTCCAGCAACATAGCTATTACGTTAACTGCTGGTCCCTGTAATACAGTTTTCTACACAGATGTCTCCAGTAAAATGTGGTCTTTTATTGCAGTGGGAATTTAAGAAGTAAAAATGTAAAACATTTGTGATATAGTAGTATAAATAAAGAATGCATAGTGATTCTGAGCAGGATTGGGATTAACACCTATTTGCTATGTTTAGCTGATGATTGTACAAATGTAACAGAATGGTTGGGTGGGACTCATTGGTGGAGAGGAGGGAGGGAGCATTTTAGCTAGAGGGAACAGAGTAAACCAAAGGGCAGATACACTTTTAGGAAGGGGTTAGTGAGTAAACTAATCTTCCTAGAGAACATTATTTTTGGGGGGTGAGGTGCAATGTAGTGCCCACTAAAACAGGTAATAAGAATTAGGACAAAGTCATTGACAGAAAGAGAATGACAAATTGCTAGATAGTATTAATAATGGTTAGGAAGAAAAACAAAGAAGAGTATATAGTGTTAGAGACTAGAAAGATCAACTAACTAGTTTTTATATCTCTTGTAGAGGATGCCAGCTACTTTTAGTCCTATGAGGGCCAGAACAGTTACTCTCTCAGCCCTGTAGATAAATGTACTTTGGAAAAATATCTTTAGAAGAGGGACACTTTATTATACCATTATTTATTAACATAATACCTTCTTGTCCCAGTACAACTTGCAGAACAGAGAGGTAACATAGGAAATTGATTTTAAAGGCCTCAGTCTTCACACTAACTTAGCTGTGGCATCTTACGAAAGTGACCTATCCTTAGCAAGAACAGAGAACACAGGATGAAACTGACCTGGAGTGAATCTTATGTGTAAAGATATATTCTACCATTGGAAAGTTGGTTACTCAAAGTTTTACCACTGATTTAGTTCAATATATAATAGTCATTCTCCTTACCCAGAATTACCAGTTTTTAAGCTCCTAAAGATTTATTCCTTATTTCTTTTTGTAGATCTCCATTGGTTGTATGGTGCTAAAAAGCAGGTTATTTATTTATTTATTTATTTATTTATTTATTTTTGCTATTGGGTATGTGCACTCACCAGAGAGACAGAGAGAAACGGAGAAACAGAACATGAGAAATCATTCTTCAAGGGCATGGCCATGCTGCAATCCCTTCTCCATTCCACTCTTGGGATTTGGGGCATGCACGCACATGTGCCCAGCATGAGTTTCAAGCCTTCGTGTCTGGGAGTCAAATCACAGTTGACCATGTGGGAGTCCAGCACCTTAACAACTATGCCACCTACAGGCCCCAAAAGCAGTTTTTACTGATATTATGAAGTTCACTTGTCCTCATGTTCTAATAAGCTGGTTTCTAATGAAATTGTCACAAATCTTTGTTAAACTTTGTTAGAGAAAAGAAGATTAGGAAATTGAGTATCTCACCTTTAGGTTGATATTGGCAACTGGGCTTCATAGTGCCTTAGTATTTGATATAGATATCTAAACTGGGGAAAAGATCTCATTTAAAGTGATTTCTCTTCATCTTGCATTTAACCTGAAAAGATACTGATACTTACATAATAGTGCCTAAATATAGCTAAGGGACATGTAATTGTTATTTCATGCTCACACACACTTTTTAATTATAAAAATTTTCAGTCCTGGGAACCAGCAGTTAGCGTAATGGCTATGTCGCTGGACTCCCATGTAGTCGACCGCGGTTCACGTCCCGGACCCGGTGGCTTAAAACTCATGCCAGGCGCGTGTGCGTGCATGCGCAAGATCCCGAGAGGAGAATGGAGGAGAAGGGATTGCGGCGTGACCATCCCCCCTGGGGGGTGATTTCTCGCTTTCTGTCTCTATGTCTCTCTCTGTCTGTCTGGCGAGCGCACGCGCCCTACAGTGAAAATCTCTCCAAAAAAAAAAAAAATTTCAGTCCTACAGGGAAATAGAACAGTGTGAAGGCCCACATACTGACCACCTGGTTGTGAACATCTCATCGCAAGATAAATTGCTAATAACATATGTATATGTTTCAACTCCCTCCCCCAAAATGGATATGTGCTTATATTACCATAGTCCCATATTGCACCCAGTAAAATCACAGCAACTACCCACTGTCATCTAATAGCAAATTCATGGCCAAATTTCTCCAGTTCTCCTAAAACAGCGAATGACTATTAACTAATAGTGAAGCCTCTATTAGAAGATTGGAGATCTGAAACCTTGGTACTCAGTTGATATGAGTGCAAGTGTGGATTGGTAGCAGAATAGAACTTAAGCCAGCGAAATGTATAATAATTATTCACTTGGAAACACTCCCTTCCCCAAGTTTGACAAATCCCCTGAAAAACTGAGGGAACCACTAGGATCAGTTTGAGCCCCAAACCTGGTCACCCTGGGACTCAGATACTATCGGGATCCCTCTGGCTCCAGTACAGAAAAGGAATACCATTGTGAGAGACCTTCATACACTTCATACACTTGTAGATAGAGAGCCACTTATTTATCCCAGACCCATTTTTTGAGTAGCCCATCCTTTTTTCAATGCCTTCAAATACTACCCCAAAACTATAAAAATGCTAAAGGAAAATAAATGAACATATTTTTATTATCTCAGTCAGGAGAAGGAAGGTTTTTCGAAAAAAGGCATGACATATTTTACTACATAGATATTTGAAACATCTTTATGACAAAAGACAAAAGACAAAAGAAGTAAGAAGTGAAAAGGAAATGATGGGCTTTGAGAAAATGTATGCAACCGAGAGATTATTAAAAATCAGAGTTTCAGCCCAGCAGGTGGTGGGATGGTTAAGACACTGAACTCCCACATGGCTGACCATAGTTTGATTCCCAGACCTGGTGGCTTGCTTTCTCACTTTTCCTCTCTCTCTCTCTCTCTTTGTCTCTCTCTGGTAAGTACACATGACCTACAGAAAATTTAAAATGACAATAATAATAAATAAAAAGAAATCATTTTTTATGTAAGAGTTTCCTGGTGCTGGGAGATGGTGTGGTGAAGGCACTGGACTCCCACATGGCTGACTATGGTTCCTATATCCAACCTGATGGCTTGAGAATCACTCTGGGCATGTGTGCATGCATGCGCACAATCCCAAAAGGAGAATAGAGAAGGGATGGCAGTGTGGCCATCCCTCATAAGGGGTGATTTCTCACTTTCCCTCTGTCTCTCTGGTGAGAGCACATGCCATATGGGGTGGGGGGGGGGAAGGAAAAAAAAATAGTTTCCTAAAACCCTATAAATTAGTAAGAAAAAAATTGTAAAGTAGGGAAAAAGATATGAACAGAAATTTAAATACAAACAGAAACAGCTTAAGCCATGAAAAGATTATTTAAAAGTTAAAAAGTGAAAGTAAAAGAAAATTGAGACACCTTGGGTGCCAATTGGTGGCGTGGTGATGAAAGTGGCCAGATCTCACATGGCCAACCCTGTGGCTCAAGTCTTGGAGTTACTGACTTGAAAAATACGCTGGGTACGTGTGTGTGTATGTCCCAGGTTGTGAAAGGCTAATGATGGAGGAAAAGGGACTGCTTCATGACTATCCCCCTGGGGATGCTTTCTCACTTTCCCTCTTTCTCTTTTGCTTCTCTCCATTTCAAGCACGTGCTCTCTAGCAAGTATTATAAAACTAATAAAAAACCCCCCTGCTTTATTACAAAAGTTGAGATACCTTGCTATTCACTTTCTGATGGGCACAAATCACAGGTGTTAATAAGGATTCGTGTTGTTTAGCACGCGAGGAAAAACACTCTCATCCACTGGTAGTGAGTATGTAAACTGGTACAACCTTTGTATGGGCAATTTACTGTATGTTATTGGCATTCCAAATTTTTGTCCTCCTCACTAGCTCTGAAACTCCTCATTCAGACTGCCTCTGTTCTTAACATGGTTTCCTGTTTTTGTGTCTCCTCTCACCTAGATGGCGGTATTTGTGCTTCTCACCTCAACCTGGCAGCCTGACACTGATTCCTGAATGCCGTGATACCGTCACAACTGCAAGTCATTCTCATATAAAATTTGAGTTTCCCTAGTCTGTACCTGTGAGAACTTTGGACAATATACAAGTTCAAGTCACCAACCATGTTGTCTTGCTGACTAGCTCATGTGACGAGACTAACGTTTGGGTTACTTGCTGCTACCATTGTTCTTCTGCCTGTTGCACCCTCTGCAGTCACTGATCACACACAGGTGTTGTTATACACAAACTGTTTATCTCTTGTTTGTCTTATGAATTTTATCATTTGATTCCTAAGTATTACAAATCAATACTGTGTACCACTCAGTGATACAAAATGTTCAACCATTGTCAATTTGCATAAGTTAGGGTAAAATGGCCTCCAAGTAAACAACCAAGAAGATGGAAGATAGAAATGAAGAAGAATGAAGAGAGCAGGGAAGGTCATGTCAATAGCAAACAAAATGAGAGTTCTTGAAGTACATGATAATGGTGGCAGCCAGGCCTCCGTACAGGGCATTTTTTGTTAATGAATCTATAATTTTTACAATAAAGAAGAATGAGAAAGCTAATAGGGTCAGTGCATTGAAGGGCACACCTGGGTCATTGGGAAAATTAGACACAACTTAAAATGCCAAAATAGAAAAAATTGAAAGAGATTTTCATTTGCGACATGTAAAACAGAGAAGCTAAATAGGCCTCTTGGTGTCTGTTTTAATCCACCAGTGAGCATCACAGAAGTGTAAGTTTAAGTTTTGAGCTAGACACAAAGTTCTAACATTCATTGAAAGTAATGGATGGTTAGACAGGTTTAAGAAATGCTATGGCCTGTATGAAAAAGAGTGGCTTGCAGAGGAAGCAGGTTGTGATGCAGATCCAGAGCACCCTGAAGACTTGAAGAAACTGACGGAGTAAAATAGTTATCTGCCTGAACAAATCTCTCTTGCCAATGAAATGGTCCTGTTCTGGAAGTGCATGCTTACTTGCACATCTACTGCAAAGGAGGAGAAAAGAACCAGAGAGGCTTTAAGCCTGGAAAAGACAAGTTCAGAGTTATGCTTTGTTCCAATGTTTCTAGCAACTTTTTGATGTAAACCCATGTTACTTCACAGATTCTGAAATATTTGCCTTCTTAAAAGACAATGCCAGAAATACTTTTCTATCTACATGCAGGGCAATTATGAAATATGGATTGCTGAGAAACTTTATGGATTGGTTTTTGAAGTGTTTTGTTCTTGAGGTTAAACAATATTTAAGCAAAAAATATTCATCAATTCTAAGTGTTGCTGATTCTGGACACTGCTCCCACCGATGTAAGTGCAATAGTAAATGCTGATCCTTGTGTTCAAATCATCTCCACCACTCTCCCTACCCCAATACAGCTCCACTCCTCAACCATGCAGTGCATCTGAGGCTGCTAAAAATGTTCTTGATATACTACTGTACTTGGCATATATTTGGCTACCTTGAAGATCTTAACAAAGACAACAGAATTTACTGTGAAAATAGCTTGGCAGAATGAGTCCATAAGTAGTAGAAGAATCAGTCAGAGAATAAAACAAGTAGCCCTTAAAGGAGCCTGATGTAAACTTTAGAATGAGGTTGTTTCCTTCCAGTGACAGAAAAAATTGAAATATAATATCTGCAAAACATTTAGGTGGTAAAGAGTTTGAAGACATTAAGAGACATCGTTGAACTGTTAGGCCTCTCATCATCAGAAGAGTTGAGAAATATTCTAGAGATGTGAGCACATCTGAAATTGATAAGGGAGGCCACTGGAGGTCAACATGGAGAACTCTAAGAATGCTGAAGTGCTCATTGTGCAAATCAAATCGTCATGGTGATTCAGAAGAAAGAGATCCTTCGTGGAATATACATTGACCTTAAGGCATGGTTTAAGTGATTTTTCACCCTGATAAAGCAGTAATATGAACCTTCAAATAAAAGCCAATAAATATTTTCTCTCTGCTTGTTTGACAGGGGAGAAGAGACAGGACGGTGGGCCATGTCATTCAAGTCTGTTCTCTGCAGACAGGAAGTGGAAGTGCCGTACATATAGCTGAACCCTGGGATTCAAGCTGACAGCTCTGATGATGTGGCGATCTATATTCTGGAGGATGAAAGCAGAACAGGAGACTGAGCTTGCTTCTCTGCACACAAAATC